CTCAGAGAGGGGAAAGGGTTCCTTTGTTCAAAGGATCATCAGGAAAGGCAGCTGGGGGACAAAAGAGACCCCTTTCTTTCTTTCTACAGGCTTTAGAAGTGGAGGAGTGGGTCTTAGATGACAACCCGGTGGCACACTGGACAGTCTGTATCTCTCGGGATCTGTGATGCTGGCTTCTCGTCTGGAACTCTAAAGGGACACCCGACATGAGCATCCTAGCGTCTACTAGTCCTTCCTTTGGGGTTGTCGGGAGTTGCATAACGTCTTAAAGAATGCGCCTGATGTGGCGCTGGAGAAGGCCATTAACCATTCAAAACATGGTTCGCCAAGGTTCTTGATGAGCCAAGATTCAGCACACTCCCGGCCACTGAGTGGATTCTGGCTCCTAATGACCATAGAAGGTGAGTGTAGGATGGTCCCTGCGGGATTCCGGGACTGTAGGGATGGGAGAGGAAAGCTCCCGCAGAGCAGCTGAACCGTTGGCAGCCCCAGGGACCAGGGAAGGCCAGGGCTCCTGCAGTAGCTCAGGGAGAGGGGATGAAGCTGGCCAATCACTTCATTTGTTCTAGGGTGAAGCCAAATGAGTAGGAGGCGCCTCACGTGCTTGGGAATCAAGGGCTTTCAATTGCCCGAACCCTCATTTTACAGGCAGTGCACATTCGTCTTGGGAGGGCTGAAAGGCTGGCCTGGATCACATTACGAGTGCCTCCATCGCAATGAAAAGCCAACCAGGAGCTCTCCGCCACCCTCTAGACTTCTGGATGCGGGCCCCGCTTTCTCTTCTCTTTCCTGACTCAGCCTAACCCCCGCACCCCGTCAGATCCGGTTGAGTAGGGAGGAGGGTGAGAAACTCAACCTGGACGACCTCCTGAGGGTGAACCTGTGGCTCTGTGGGAGGCAGGTGCACCTCCCAGCAGGGGCCGGCGGAGGCTAGGGGATTGAGAACCCCGGAGGGGCAGGCTGAGGACAGGTGTCCAGAAAAGACTGACTTCGGCGCCCCTGGGCAGTCGAACGGTCCAGCGCGCACACAGCGGCCTGAGGCCCTTTGCAACTGGCCTCTCTCCCCGTCTCATCAGCCTTTTGTTGTCAGCCTCCGCCTCCGGCTCCCGCTCCTGCCCTACGGTCCCCCGCGCCCCCCGCCCCCCCCAAGTCACCCCAACTGCACTCATAATATTTTGCTTTGCGCCGGGTCTGTTTTCCACCACCAACTTCCAAGGGTCTCCATGGCGACGCGCTGGGGGAGGGGGCGGGCTCGGCTTTGGCGATCCCAGGCCCAGGCCGCTGTGCGGCCGCCGCAAACTTTCGCGTCTCTCGGGCTCTGGACTCGGCGGGAAGGCGCGCTGCCCGCCGCCTGCCCGCGCAGGGCCATGTGCGCCCTGTCGGCATCCGCACCCACAAGGATTGCAGCCGCAGGGCTCTGGGACCCCGAGGGACCTTGACCCTGATGACAAAACCCAGACACACCAGCGCCTGGCAGGTGGCTGAGGTGGGGACGCGCATGACCTCGCCTCAGGCCACACACAGGCCCTGGGAGGGAGAGCCGGTCTAGTTTGGGATCAGGAGGTCGGCTGGGGGCCCCGGCCAGCTGATTCGATGGCCCAGGCAGAGAAAGGGGCTTCTCCTGCCCAGCACCTGGGAGATGATCCAGGAGCTCGGGCCCGGGTCCCTTCCAGGAGGCTCTCCCGATGGGCACCACTCCAATGGCCCCGCTTTAGGGGCCCACAGAGCCAGACTGCGGCCTGGCCCGACCGGAACCCGCAGACCAGAGTGCGGCCCTGGTGGCGCGGCCGCGACCACCAGTTTCAGCTTTGGGGGAGCTCTGGCCGCGCCAGCGCAGGGTTTGGGGGATAAGGGCAGGAAGCGGGCAGCGGCAGAAGTTTCCCGTTCGGACTGGGCAGTGTCCTCTAAAGCGCCAGCCCGTGTCGCAAGAAATGATCCTTCCGTGGCGTAGGCGACCAACTCGGCCCTAACCCACTTGGCTCAACTTCTGGGTGGCCTTCGATGCCACCCACTTTTCCCTCTCCGTCTCAAATGTCCGGGCAAGAGGGTAACTGCGCAAAGCTGGACCCAGCAGGCGCATGGGCTTGGCCTCACCTCGATTTCGCGCCGCCGGCGTCCTAGTGGGACGCGCGGGCCACGCGGGGCTCGACCCCCACTACTCACCCTCCCGCAGGGGGTGCTCCGCGTGACGCCCCGGCTGCGGAGAGACCCCTGGGGGACAGTGCGCCGCCGACCCCCTGTACACGCCCTCCGCTTTGGCCTGGAGCGGCGTGGCGCAGCCGGAGCCACAGCCCAGGGCGGCTCCGCTTTGTGGGGCTCCAGGGCCGGGTGGAGGAGCCTGAGGGCCAGGAGGCGCGCGCCGGCTCCCCCGCCTCCCCCGATGGAGCCATTGTCCTCGTCCCACACTTGTTGAGTATTTGGGGGCAACGCAAGGAATATATTACCGGCTCGGTGCCAGGAACAAAGGGGCGCGTTTCCGCAGGTCACGCTGAAGTGGCCCCAAGGCAGGCCACTAGAGCCCGGCCCCAGCAAAACTGTTCTCCTTGGCCCCGTGGCACTTGGCGGGGATTTTCCTCCTAGGAGTAGGGGACCGAAGCCCGGCCTGCGGCCTCTCGGACGGAACCGGGACACTTCCCGACTTCGCCCCGGCAGCGGCTGCAAATGGGATGTTACAATCCTTTCGGGATGAAACTTTAGCGCTTCTTCAGGGTCGTGGCTTGGAGTGCGCGAAATTTGCTGTAAAACGAGCGGAATCGAACTTCGCCCAGGAGCGTTCGTTCCAGCCGGCGGGGCCGAGGGGACTTTTACATAACAAGAGAGACTGGGGGTGGGAGTGGGGGTTGATGACTAATTGGATTAACTTCTCTGGGAGGGTGGTGAGGCTTGGTTCCTGGGTCGGACCACGCTGAGCCGCCCTTCCTCGTCCGGGGTTTTGCACACGCGAGTGAAACACACCGGGCGCGTCTCGGGTCATTTTTTGCACGAGGCTCTTCCCCAGAAACTTTTGATTCTGAGTTCCGAGTGGCTTCCTAGGGGTTTCTTAGATACACGGAATAGCCGGGAGCGATGCGAATGAGCAAAGGCTTTTTAGGACGTTTGCTGCTGAGGACGAGGTAACTAAGTGCTACATAGGGGGCAGAAAAAGAACATTCCCAGAGCCCCCACACACACACCAGCCCAGAGAGGAGCAGCATCCACAGCGCGCCCCAGAACGGCGATCCGGTCCTATATGTAGGTTGGAAGGTGCCCCAAGTCCCCAGCTGGGTCAGGGTAGGTTTGTAATGCAGGCAGCCCCCACTTTCCTGCGGGAGCCCCTTGCAGGGACTGGTCACACACCACAGACTTGGATTTTTGTTCTAGGCTATGCGGCGCTAAAGTTGGGGTGTTCTGAAGGTGCCTTGTGACCCAGGCGCTGGCGATCAAAATGCGGGCGGGACTCCTCTCCCGCTCTGCGCTTGCTTTGCGGAGGGCGGAGAAGACCCCAGCACAACCTGTCGGGTACCTGCAGCCGGGCGTGCAGGGGATCCGAACACTTCTCCCAGCCTGGGTATGTCACTGCAGTTAAGAAGGGGGGTTCCCGGGCTCCATCTTTACCCACCTGATAGCGGCCCACACCCACTAGGGGAGCGCGCTCCCAGAGGGATACGAGACAATCAACTCCCGAGGAAAACGGAAACACTCCACAGATACACCGAGGGCGCGGGTGTCGCCGCCAGTAGGGCCGCGGCAGAAACCTGGAGGGGCCCGGAGTCTTTCTGCAGCGATTAAGAAAAGATCATCTGGGGTTTCTGCCCGAATGACCTCTGCTCCCTCCGCACACCCATTCCCAGCCCGCCTGGGAGTGGAAGGGGGCGGGGAGGCAGAGGGGGTCTCCTGCTGGTGTTGATGTGCTCAGGAAACAGGCGCCTGAGGGTTAGGAGACAGCAGAGGCTGGAAGGCACTTGTTGCTGCGCTCGGCGGAGCGCAGCCTGGATTCTCCCAGGCATCGCGTCCAGTCCAGCTGCTGCCCCGGCCCAGACCGCGCCGGTCGCAGACCCTATCTCCCCAAGGAACCCCGAGGCTGCTGCCGAGCCCCGGCCGGCGCCCACTAGGCGCAGGACCGCAGCTGAGGGTGGGGGTGTTCACACCCAAAGCACTTCCTGGGGGAAGGCTTCAGGGCGCCTGACTCGCTTCTAGAAGTTTGGCGGTCCTTCAAAAGCGCTGGAGAGGGAGGTGGCGAGCGCACAAGGCGCCCGGCAATGAACCGGGATGCCTGGCTTTTTTTTCTTAAAAAACTCTTCCCTGGTCCCTCTCCTTCACGACGACAGGACGCCGCCACCCCAAAAGTTGACTCCCACCACCAGCAGCCCTCACGTTGCGGAGGGGGGTGATGGGGGCGGGGTGCCAAGGCGATCAGCGGGCCTCGCCTTTCGCGCCGCGCCCGGCCAGCTCGCCCCAGTCGGGTGGGAGCTGGGCGCGCGTCGCGTCGTCGGGCGCCCCTTCCTGGCACGGTGTCTTCCCCGCTCCCCGGAGGACCGGCGCCGCGCGCGCCCCCCGGGCCCAGCGGGTTCGCCGCCGCCGCTCGCTCCAGCCGCGGGGCCCACCGCCCTCCTGGGCCCGCAGGCCGTTCCGCTCCGTTTCCCTTCCCTCTTCCCAGCCCGGGCGCGCACCGCTCTGCCCAGGAGGCCCCCAAACTCCGAGGCAGAACGGGACCCGAGAGGGGCCGGTCAGCTCGCCAAGTTCCGACCAGTGGCAGCGAGCTCGCCGCGAGCCGGCGCCTCTGGACGTGACGGGGTGACCAAGGCCAGTGAAAGCGCGCCCCGTTCCCCCCGCGCGCGCACACGTACTTCCACGCGGTCCACGGGCACCGGTTGCAAACGGGTGCCCGCGCGGCGTCCTTTCTCGAGAGCTCACTGTCAAGTTGAAGCATCGGAACTTTTTTGCAACTCTTGCAGAAGTTCCCCCTCTCCCTCCCAACTGGCTCCCCATTCCCGGCCCCACACACCCCCCGCAGGACTAACCTGTGGAATCCATGTCGGGTTCCTCCAGTAGCCCACAATGCATGCTCTTCCCATGGACAGCACAGGCGCCCCCAAAAGTCCTGATGTTTGGGGATCCCTGTGCTCGAGATGCTCAGGGAGGAAGGGAAGGAGGGAGGGGAAGGAGAGGGGGCCGCGGGATGCAGGGGAGGGGAAGCGGAAAAGAAAGAAAAGAGAAAGAAGAAAAGACGGGGGGCGAGTGCCGAGAAGGAGCGGGCAAGGAAGCGAGCGAGCGCGGGGACACTCGGTAATCCAGCCGGGCAAAGCCTAACCCGTCAAAATGTTTGCGAATGTTTCATGGGAAAAAGCATCATTTTATAGGAGCCCCGATGGGAGCAATGTCATTGATAGGCCAGCCGGCCTGATGAATGGCCGCTCGTCAGATGGGGCCGTGGCGAGGCGCTCTGTGAAGCCCATTGTGGGCCTGTTTTGAATAAGAAAAGCCGCCTCCGAAAAGGGGGGCTCCGAGCGACGCAATCCCAGCCCTCCGACTTCCCCCTTCTATTATAGCATTAGCAACGTTTTTCTTATTTAAAGTTCCAGAGGCCTTCTCCAGCCTTCGCTGGGCACTCATTATGGACGAAATCAAAATTGGCTTAGATGTGGCCCCCTCCCCCCCGCGCGCCCCCTCCCCCTCCCCCTCCCCCCGCTCCCTCTCCGACCCGGTGCGGCGCGGGCAGGGAGGGGGCCGGCGGGGGCGGGGGGACACTGGGACACCGGCAAGGTTGGGGACTGGCCTCCTCGGCCACGAGTGGGCCCCTCTCCCTCGCATCTCCTCGTACGCCTCCTCCCCGCTTGGTCCCGGGTTGTTAAACTTGGGAGGGGGCTTGAGAACGCGAGGGGGGCCGGCATCGCGACTCCCGCGCGCACTCGTGGACACGCGTGGGGGAGGGGAGGGGAGTGAGCTGCGAGTTGGGGGGGGTGGCCAAGAGTGGGAAGGAGTCGCAGCCCTGGGAAGCCAGCCGCCAGCACGGGCGTCCAGAAGGCTGCTGGCCAGGGAGGGGGCAGGGCCCCGCTGGCCTCCAGAACTTTCTCCCCGACGGTCTCCTTCCCCCCGCGCTCGCCCGGCCCCGGGTTCTAGCTCCTGGTCCCTCGCCGCGTCTCTCTCTGTCTCGGCGGCCCCCTCCACGGCTCCCTCTTGGCCTGCTGGTCCCTGTCCAGCCCCTGCCCCCCACGTCTCTTTGTCTCTCTCTAGGACTTTGTCCCCCTCTGTCTCTCTCCCCACCCCCGTCTCTTCCCTTAACTCTGTCTGTCAGTCTGTCTGTGGCCCAGCCCCTCCCCTCATTCCCTCCTCCTTCCCACCAGCCGGGAAGTTGGTGAGAAGCCCCGGCGACCAAGCGGGGACGCGGTTTTCCCAGGGACCCCCTCCCCGGCAGAGTTTAAAGTGCAGAAAGAGGGGGGCGATAGGGCTGGAAGTGGAAGTGGGGGGGCCGGCTGCGTCTCCGCGGGCCCCGATAAAGTGGCTGTTCGCGGGCCGGCAGCGCTGTGATTAGAATATGAATGGGCCTCGGCGGGCGGAAGAGAAAGGCGGATTACCCGGGTGCTTTGACCATGGACAGAGGCAGCGCCGCCGCGCCGGGCAGGGGGGCTGGCCGGGCGGGTCTCTAACGCCGGCCTCTGGGCTGGGGATGCGAGGAGTGGGGGTGGTGGTCTCTAATCTGAGACCCAAGCTGGGCGGGGCTCCCTGCAGCCTTAGGAGAGCCCCCAAAATTCACTCCTCTAGCAGGGCAAAACGGGGCAGCGGTG